CAAAATTTCACAATTTGGCTGCATTTTTATATTCACAAATAAAAATTTTTGTAATTTTAATGTAATTACCACACCTAATATACAATCAGCACCCTATTTTGCAGATTTTGATTTCATAAATTTTTCCAGAACGCGAAAATTGTGAAACTTAATCCCTGAAAAATATATGGTGTATACTGTACATGTACATGCATTAGCTATAGACCACCCTAGGCGTGAATTGGAAAAGTTATAAATTTCATTAATTTACCATATAGCCGGAAAGTTTCGTGGCCAAAAACTTTCGTGGTTTTCGTGGTTTAGAAGGGCACCACAAAATTAAAAACCACGAATAATTTGAAAAGGTGTGGTATTATAGCAAATTAATGAGAGGCGTGGCTGCTTCAATGATGATCCACGAAAATAAAAACCACGAATAGGCCAGGAACCTCCAAACCACGAAAGTTTTTTGCCACGAAACTTTCCGGCTATATGGTATATACGGTGCCCGCCCACACATCATAATTGGCTGCCATTTTGGTTGGCAAGTTTATTATGGAAGTCAATGGAGGCACAAAGAAAATGCTTCACCTAAGCTTCTCCTGTCAAGGATTTGGTCAAATTTGCTCCAGAATTCTTAATACAGGTTTGTTTTTATGTCGGCCCGTTTGTTCTCCATTGAAAGTTGCCAACCAAAATGGCGGCCGGAATTAATTTCATCCTAAAACACGCCTTACAACCGTAAAAATTTCTAATAATCTTCCTACGCATTCAATTCTTGCCTAGGGTGGTCTATAATGCCTACTACGTACTAGATTGATAGTACATGTTTGTTGTACAAATACATCATACTTGTACAGTAGTATGTAGGTAATTATGCATACACATAATTACACATACCTTCATTAACAAGGACACCATTATTGTCCCTATAGCCACTAATTAAGACTGGAATGGGCACCAACATATTACCATCTTTGAGATCTTATGTAACATATCATAATTAAGGTACATATAATTCAATACATACACCCTCTAAATTGAGGCCATAAAGTTAGTTGAGTATAACTACTATCTCTTAGGATACATATATCATAGAATATAGGGCTAGAGCCATCAGTAATAAGAGCAATGGGGTCAAGAGAACACTGTATTTCATAATGAACACCAATTTGCCAAGTGGCAGCCATCTTTGAAGGACGATCTTTACACAACTAAAAAATAAAACAATAATGATAATAATAATAATAATGATAATAATGATGATAATAACAATAACAATGATGATCATTAAAATAAGTGATAGGTGTTATCATTACCATGATGGTATCGTTGACGAGGCTTAAATCTAAATATGTGCCATTCAAAGCAAACCGTGCAGCATATATAGGAAGGATTGATGAGCTCTATGAGGGTGGAAGAGAGAAGGAAAGGAGAGGGAAGAGAGTACAATTAGTGGAGGAGTATGATCATAAAACAAACATTCCTGTTAAACCTACAATCAATAGTATTACATGAATGTATGCTTACTGATGTAGAAAAAACAGTATTAATGACTGTGTTAGTTAAATACTGCTGAGCACCAAACTGAGCATAATATACTTCAGGGACTAGATTAGGCCTACATAAGATAAAAGAGAGATTAAGAGAAGTAGGGTACAATATTTACAAACTAACGAATTTGATGAAAGACGTCTAATTTCCTGACAAGCTTGGTCAGTCATGCTATAACCTTGAAGCACACACAAATTGATCAACAACTGGCAGGCACTCAAACTACCATTCTAGAGGAAATCAAATAAATTAGAATGAAACCAGACACTCAATACGTACGTTGCAT